AGAAAAACGTTTTCACGGCTGCCTTACTGGAAATCTTCCGGGGCAGGTTTATGTTTATGTTTATGTTTATTTAGTAGAAGGCAGCAGTACAAAACTGGTAATATCTACATCATGTGTTACATTATCATAATAATAAGTGAAGCTACAAAAATAATATCACAGAAGTTAATTGATATAAACTAGACTAGCAAGAAGAAAGTCATTTGGTACAGAGAGAAGGACTGTAGTTGGATAGCAGGTGTCGTCGGTATCGAGGNGAGTCACTCAATTTTCAGCGGGGCGACGTGTACGGGGACAACCGTTGAAAAACCAGGCTTCCAATGATCCCTCTCTCAAATGAGTGCGGCTCCAATATCAGGCAGAAAACGTAAAAGCAAAGACAGAACACTCGGATGACGTGTACATGCCACCGAGGTCAAGTACAAGTTGTTGTTCATCTATAATCTTCTAGGTCTTTTTATGCTTTAAGGCGTTACATTTCCGGTGCGATCCAAAACAGATGTCTTGATCAGAGTCAAATGATGTAACCTCATCAGTCCCACAGCTCCTACCTCAATCAAGTTTGGTTGCTTGATTAGGTCCAAATGTTTTGAAACGTTAAAGGTGTGTCTGATCCAGACCAAATCAGATAGTCCAGACCGCAGTCCTAACAAATTTCTAATCGGCCTTGATGATAATCGTATTAGAAGTAGTCCACAACAATTGATAGATAATATCATCATCATCATCATCATCATCATAAGCTGGTCCTTTCTCAGACTAGTTGGGCACTACCCCTACACTTTATCCTATCCTGAGCTAATCTTCGCACTTCCCTAAAACTAGAACATCCCACATCTTAAATTATTTGTGAACAGTAATCTAATCCAGGTATACCTTTACCCATCCTAACTTCCGTTTCTGCCTCTAATATGTCTCTGACTAGACCTTCAGCCCTGAGAAGGTGTCCTACCAACCTATCTCACCTATTCCTTATTGACTTCCACAAAGTCGCTTGTTCTCCTATTATTTCTAATACCTCTTTATTTCTAACCTTCTCCATACACGGTATCCTCTTCATTCGCGTGTTACTCCACATTTCAAGCAACAAGAAGCAAACAGACTGACAGATAAACAGGCGACCAGCATCTTTGTTAAGAGTAGTTTTAGTTTTCAGTTCTTACTCTTCAAGAATTGCTTAAAAGCCAAAACAATTTTTATCCTTTTAAGCTTTTCTCAATAAAAAAAATTAGTTATTCACTAACGAAGGTGCATAATATCCTTCTATTTAGTGTTGAATTTTTAAACAACCCTTATTTCTTAATTGGTGACCTCAATATTTCATTTCCATGTCTATAACCAACTTGAAAATACATGACATAATAAGGTATGGGAAGTGCTTCGATTTTAGCTTTTCAGTCACAGATTAGTTCCATCATTCCCGAAAATATAGTCCAATTATTTATCTTTTGTAGGCCCTCTTATAGATAATTCCTCAGCGTTTTTGAACCGATTAAATCGAAAAATGATTTAATACTCCTTTATCAGAATTATTTTTCGAGTTCTCGTTTCCATTCAGGCAAATTTTTAATTAATAATATTCGTCGATGGCTAGATAAAAACCCACGTGTCTCCTCTTATTTTCTCTGGCTTTCAATGTTCAATGGTCCTATTAAAATTCAAATGTGGTTGGAAAAAATGGAAAAGCACGGAAGAACGGTTAGGTCTAGTGCCTTCTATTCATACTTGCTGCATCCATATGCATGTCTAGATGCATCATCCCCCTCGAATCAGCCGTTAAAACACCGCAGGGCAGAGGGAGGAACCGTATTGGACGGTAAAAATTAAATCAGCAATTGAAGATCACTGGAGCGCGACAGTGGATACAAGGGACCACCAAAAAGTTTAGGAACAACCTTAAAATCATATTATTGAGATCCGTCAAATGGGAGGAGCCTAAAAACATGGCGCCGATTAGGGAAAATTTATCGTAGTTCCTATAGTGTACCGTGCAATTTCCAAGTTTTTAAATTACGATAAAATGATAAGTATTGACACAATATGTGATTGGGCTGACACAAAGCCTCGGAAAGGAAATTTCGTTGAAGGTGAGCGTGTTTTTAATGCCAATCACATTATAAAATTCGGAAATAACAAATCCGGAAGCTAGCCTTCAAATTCCGTCAAGTTTACTGCCTACTTTTTACAAACTTCGGATTTAAAAAGTGATTCACGTTATATAATTGGTGAGGTGATTCTGGGTGATTTAAGCAATATCATATCAATGACTTGCACGTGCAAAGCCGATTTAAGAGAACGTTGCAAACACATTATTGCAACTTTGTTGTATTGCAGCAGGTAGGTTCTTAACCTCAAAATACTTATATCGTATCATTAGAATTGTGTTAAATCAATTACACAGGAATAAATAATTTCTCACTTTATAATTTTAGTATGATTCTAGTTTTAAATATTAAGGTTATGGCTGATGGTAAATACTTGCTGAAATATAATCATGTGCATTAAAATGACGTGAACAAATTTTTATTCCGGAATTCACTTCTTTGATACCTACTGCTTTCATCCAAGCTTCTATTAGTTTACTTTTTTCTCTAATTTTCCGAATATATTTTTTACATATATAAAACGGTTAGTTTTTATTGGAAAGTAGTTAATGTAGGTGAAGAGTGAAGATCTATGTCTGAAGTGCTATTGCAGCTTTTCACTGAACATATTAACTTTTTATTTGATTTAACTTTAGAAGAAAACTTCGTCGACTCCATCATCAAAAAAATTTTTACTTTTTTAACGTGTTTTATTATTTTAATAAACAATTTTACAATTTGCGTGCACAGTTCCTATATAAATTTTTCCCTCATTCGAGTTATAAATTTTGCCACCAGATGGTGTATGCCCATTTGACGAATCCCAATAGTATATTGGTTTTCCTAAGAGATACTGAAATGAAACAATACCTGTGTTGCAGTCAATAATACGAGGGGGCGTTTTTAAGTTCGTGGAATGGGGGGTGGAAATATTCAGCTTCTACCCTTTATACATTCGTCACATCTTTCACTTACCTTACGTATACCTTCGAAAGAAATGTTTTGATGAAATATTATTCTGAAAATTCATTTTTGAATTTTCAACCCACTACAAACTACCTCAAATTAATGTCTTGTCTTTCTCTGGAAAATACGCTGAAACTGCATCATTTCTTCCCAGGAAGACTTTTTTTCAAGTTTGGGAATAGGTGGGTGAGTCAAAATTTCGACACCTTTGTTTCAATTTTCATCTTCTTTTTTCTTTGATTGTTTCCTTTAACCGTTCTAGGATTAAAGCATAGTATTCTGCGATTATGGAGACACCTTTATCTTTATAATCGATCAACAGGGCTCCTTGAGAGTCTTGGACGGTGGTGCGCCTTTTTTATGCCACTGCATAGAGTCCTGTTTGGACTCAGGTTCATAATGATAAACCCAAGTTTCGTCCCCAGTAACAATTCGACTCAATACTCCATTTTGATCTTCAATACAGAGGTTCAAAAACGCGCCTCAACATTCCCCACGCTGTTGTTATTGAGATAGAGTGAGCATTCTTGGCACCCATCTTGCGCTGACTTTAGTTATGCCAAGATGATAGTGAAGAATTTTAAAAATGGTTACATCTGATACTCCTACCATTTCAACGAGTTGTTTCTTCTTAAGTCGGCCATCTTCCACTATTAATTTTTCGACTTTTTGAATGATTTCCGGAGTGGTCATCTCGATCGGTCGTGGGTTGTCTTCACGTGAGTCCCTGCCTTGCTTACAGAGGATATGCCACTTGTAAACCATGGTTTTACCTGGGCAAGAGTCCCCGTAGATGGATGACATCTCTTCCTGTATGGTTTGAACTGATTTTCCTTGCTTGGTAAGGAACTCTATAACAACGCTGTACTCGATTTTCTCCATATTTCACAATTTGTTTCCGATTAACTTTGTTTCGTCGACGATGGTTCAAATACCACTGGCCTAATTACGATAAAACTTGGTATTTATACTAATAATGAGTTATTTAATTGAAGATAGTCATATTACAGCTAAAATTAGATCCGTCAGTGATCTACCTACCTACTGATTATTGATTTTTTTTTTGTCACTTTCCTTTGCAGAGAAATTAGTCTTTCATATAGCATATCTATGAGTGTTCATAAACAAACAAGTTCTGTTACTTTGGTACACGTTAGAGGTTCTTTTTAATTGAAATTAGTGCCTGAATTTTTTGTTTTTTATTATTGCTCTTTCCAGGGTGGATTCAGCTGCAGTTTCCCCGGTATATTTAACTATCAAACACAAAAACTCATCAATTATGGCCCTCAGCAGTTGCGCTTCGAATAAAAATTAATGCTTATTTAGTACGTTATTTGACTTTAATAGTCTGTTAACGGAAATTTAAAGTCAATTTGGGAGAGGGGTGAGTGCCCTTGTAGTAGACACGGGAAATTGAGATGTTACAAAATTTATCATTCAGCAATTCTCATTTCCTGTTATCGATATTTCACATGCATACATACATACAAGGGTGGATTGATAAGTTTCCGGCCTGACCAAGAAAAACAAGGTTTTTAAAAATTTTNGCTTTTCCATTTTTACGAAAACCACAGAGGCGTCTTGTTCAGCGTGCTGTCAAACCTACACTAGCAAGGAGATCGGGCTGAAACTATAGCTACAAGCTATCCAAGGATGGTACTATAGAATGTCACCTCAAGGTAGGCCTAGTGGCGTCATCTCTTGGTTAGGCCGGAAACTTATCAATCCACCCTCGTACATACATACGTATTAATGATTTTCCATTTTTTCTGTCTTTTGTTACCTTATTCATTATTTCTAAAATGACATCATCCAAGACAAATGATGAGCAGCCCTTAATAATACTTCCTAAAAATATTTTACCGTTTCTATGATTTTGTCACAAGGAGATTTAGAAGATGTTTGTAAAATTAGGACTTATTTGTTAGTGGATTTTTCTTATTATTCCAGTACTAAGGGAAGATTTTCGCTTGGAACCGCAGACTTCTAGAGTAGCTGCTGGAGAAGACATCATTTTAGAATGTGGTCCTCCACGAGGAACTCCGGAGCCTCAAGTGTTGTGGCGAAAAGATGGTCAAATATTGGAGTATGATAAAAGAGTTAGGTTGGTGGATGGATTCAATTTGGCAATTACCGAATCCAGACCTTCAGATGGGGGTAGATATCAGTGTGTGGCCAAGAATGTGGCTGGGATCAGAGAATCTTCGGTAGCGATACTTAAAGTTTACGGTAAGTTTTTCCTAATTACCCATTGAGTCATTTATAAGATTTGAGAAAGGAATAATCCAATGGCGTATACATTCACGGCCGGAATCGACTAAACAAAGAGGTAGATCTGGGTTGATGGGTCGTTGTCGAAACGTTTGGATCTAAAACTTCCTTTTGACCACGGCCCATCAACCCGGAACTACATCTTTGCCCAAAGAAATAATCCTCCAGTATTAGTTTAAATATGTCAGTGTCAATGTTACTTTTAGATCAAAATCTTGTTACAAAATCAAAACCAAAAGTCATACAGAAAAGCATGTCAATGTAAAGTTAAGACTGAAATTATTCTGGGACCACAAAATCATAACAGAACAGTTTTTCTGTAGTAAATTTCAATCAAAATGTATATTATCTACAACGAGGAATATCCTTATGGACTCATGATATTTTTTTTAGTAAAACCGTTTCTCATACGTCCCCCTGAAAACATAACTGCGCTGGTTGATACAACCGTGGAGTTTTCCTGCTCGGTTGGAGGAGATCCTTTGCCGGACGTCATGTGGCGTCGTAATGCGTCTGGGGGAACGATGCCATTAGGGCGCGTTAGAGTCCTCGAAGACAGAAGTCTTCGCCTTGAAAGAATAACGGTCCAGGACGAAGGACGTTACACGTGCGAGGCAGATAATCCAGCAGGTGCCCTAACAACTTCCGCTTATCTTACCGTCCTTTCCATGCCTTACTTCGTCCAAAAACCTCTCGCTCAGACCGCCGAGGTCGGTCAGAAAGTCACGTTCCATTGCAGTGCGATAGGTAGTCCGAAACCATTTATATTTTGGTCGTTCGAAGGCGATCGTGCCTTAGTATTTCCCGGTAATCCTACGGAACACTACGAGGCTATGACTTCGGATGACGGGAAGTCGGTGTTGATGTTAAGAAACGCGCAACTTCAAAATTCCGGTACCGTTGTCGTTTGTTCGGCGATAAATCTAGTGGGCTCGGTGTCCGCGAGGACTAGATTGACAATAACGTCAAAAGACGATCGACCTCCGCCTGTTATAAGTCGAGGGCCATCTAATCAGACGTTACCCATAGACTCTGAGGCGAATTTTTACTGTGAAGCTACGGGAAATCCAGATCCAGTTGTGTCGTGGTACAAAGATGGAGTTCCCGTAAGACCTACGGAACGAATAGACATGTCCAAACCCAAATTTCTTGTGATAAATAGTCTGAAGAAAGAAGATTCTGGAACTTACACATGCGTAGCGTCATCTAGAAGCGGAAAAGCGACTTGGAGCGGTCATCTTCTCGTCGATAATCCGAAGAACCCAAACATCAACTTCTTCAAAGCCCCAGAACCTGTGACGTTACCAGGTCCACCCAGCAGGCCACACGTGCTCAATCAATCCGAAGACAGTGTGACCATTACATGGGCTCGAAACAACAAAATTGGATCTTCCAGCCTCATTGGATTTCAAGTAGAGCTTTTCGGGAGGGAAGAAAATGTAACGCCCACCTGGACGATTGTGGGAAGACGAGTCCTGGGCCCGGTCTTCACTCAGCACCTCCTCACTCCAGGAATACCTTACACGTTTCTTGTACGTGCCGAAAATGCTCACGGACTTGGTCCGCCATCCCAGTTATCTGAACCAGTAGTGGTTGGGTCAGAATCGGGACTGAACTGGGGAAGTCCAGAAGTGACTGTGCTTAGTGAAGCACGGGCTGTATTAGTTTCGGGGAATGTGGTCAAATTGACTGACGCTATACCCACATCCTCGACCACCATCAAGTTAATGTGGGAAATACTGGACGCCGAATTCGTCGAGGGTTTATACATTTACTACGTGTTTTTGAACGAGGAATTTTTCGAAAAGAGTACGTACAGTATGCTAACCGTCTTGCATAGTGGTGGCAGCACTGCGTTCAGCGTGAGCAACTTGGAAAAATGGGCCAAATATCAATTCTTCATCATGCCTTTCTATAAAAATATCGACGGGGCTCCATCCAATTCCAAAACAGTACGAACTCTCGAAGATGGTAAGTAAGATTCTGCGCTTTCTTTTTTTATCATCATCTCTGGGGATTTCTTACAGTTCCCACAGAACCCCCATCTCACATGGAAGCCCTTTTACTTAATTCTACCGCTGTCCATTTGAAATGGAAGAGTCCTCCGGCTATGTCTATCAATGGTCAACTAACTGGTTATAAAGTCGAACTGAAATCCAACAAATCCAATGGTACTCCTGATGTAATTTCGGTTGGAAGTAAACCTTCACTACTATTAACCAATCTTACTTCAGGAGTATCATATAATGTTAGGATAGCTGCAGTAACAAGGATAGGTACCGGTCCATACTCAGTTCCAGCGCTCCTCAGGTTAGATCCAGCGTCTAGAATTCCCGATCACCACTATCACAGGTGAAACACTGGAGAAACTTTAGGAAAACGCCTGTCTAAATAAGTTTTCTTTTTTCTTTCAGGCCAATAGGCACGGAGATGCAAACAGGAGACTTTATAACCGAAACGTGGTTCATGGTTCTCCTTATTAGTATGGTAGGTGTTATGGTTCTATTGTTCGGTGCGATGTTATTGGTCAGGCGACGTCAAATATTGGCCAAAAAGTCCTTGGCCCCAAGTAGATCAAACGGGGCGGTTCTTTCGACTCCTTTGGCAGTCAAACAGGAAGTTCCTCTTTGGCTGGACAAAGATATCCTTCCTGAATACTCACTCAACACTCTTCCAAATTACCAAAAAAAAGATTTCGAAAGAAACGGCGGCTTTTCTTTACAAAACGGCAACGGCAACATCATTTCGAATCCAATGGACAGCAACGATCTGACCAAAAAGGACAACTACGACTGTGATCCAAACAAGAGTTATTCGGGTAGCAAGCAGGGATATTCGGACAAGTACAGGATGTATAATGGAAAAATTCTAAAGGACTACAACAACATGCAGGTCCAGGACTACGCCAGTCCCAACATTTATTCTGAGTCGAGGGGGTCGCAGGTGGCGGATTATGCGGAAGTCGACGCAAATATGGTGGGACACAGGGGTGACTTGAACTCTCCAGCACCTTATGCATCCACCACAATTGTTTCCAAGTCGAGGAAGTTGGTAAGTTGCTTTTTTAACTTTCTAAACTTTTATTACGAAATTATGATAGTTTTTTCTCGAAAGAGATCTCCATCCCCTTGCGCCCTCCCTCTATGTACGTTATCGTGTGTAGTTATTTGTGGTTGATTTATTTGTGAATTTTTTTTGTCAGGGTTGGTCATTAAAAATGCGTACACCGAGCCCTGACGAGCCACTTTACCCCGCCCTCAATGGGGGTTACTACAACCGCAGCGTGTACTCGGACTCGTACTTCCCCGTAACGCAAACTCTTAGAAGAAATAAAAGAAAATTGGCTAGTAGCGGCAGCAACATCCCCCCCGACTTGGTGTCACCTAGTCAGCCAGTGTACGCTCGTGTCGGTCCCCCCACTACCACCGCCACCAATTGGGGGGAATATGGGAGCAGCTCCGTCTCCCCCAATCTTACCAGCTTTGTTTCTGCAAAACAACAGCACAGCAATATGTATCACGCATCAACACGCAGTGAACCGGGAAATATGTTGTGAACTTTGACATCATAGCAGGTTTGAAGAGACAAGGATTGGTGTATTGTTTTTATTTTCCAGCCGTAGGTCGGTAAGTGATTCATTTGTTTTTATTTTTTTTTTCTGTTATTTAAACCCACAAACGATAAAACAAATGAGAAAAACGTTTTATAATGGTTTTTGTTTTTATTATTGTCAAAATTTAAATGTCATCGAAAATATTAACAAGATTGGGAAATTGTTTCATAAATAATCCGTAATGCTCAAAACTACTACGTGATCAACTGCATTTATTTATAACAAAGTATGAAATAAATTTAAAATAACATTTAATCAGTACCGAAAATAATTAAAATGTTTCCATTGTTATATTTTAATAATTTACAATCAAAATTTGAGCAAATAGTATTTTTTGTTTATATTTTATTATGAAAAGGCAATACAATAAGTGCAAAAAGATAAATTAAAAGTAGTACGTTCTATTAATTAATTTCCTATTTGGTAACCTAGCGTCTTTAAAGTGACACCCGGTATAGTAGCTATCGAATAAAAAGAATTTAAAATGGTGATTACCATTATTATGAAGTTATCAGTATTTTAAACATTCCAAAATTTAAAAAAAAAAGCCTAACTTTTAAACTACGTATAAAAGAAACTTAAACACTATTACTAATCTTATGCCTATAATAAAAATTTCAAAAAAAAAAATCAAATTAATTAAATTACAAATAAGAACTACATACTTATATAGGTATTTATCTCAGGAATGTTCTTACTTCTTATTAAAAACGAAACTATACATAATGCATAATATAATAACCATAAGTGATTTTTTTTTGTAATATATGATTTTTTTTTCTTTTTGTTATCAGAAACAGTATTTTAAATAACAAAACATACCAAAGTGTACGCTTGATGTGTATAAATATCGTATAACAATA